AGGTTAAATAATAAACCTATACCAAATGTGCATCACAAATTCTTAGAAAATTACAGTGGCTTACTAGTGCTACCAATAGACTATTGTAAAAATTTCATGCCATTTTTAGGAAAATAATAAACCTATACCAAATGTGCATCACAGTGGCTTACAGTGGCTTCACAAATTTAGGAGCTACCAAACTGAAGATACAAAAATCACAAATCACACTTGAATCTGGAATTTTTGAACTAGCCCTCAACACTGCTGTCGCTGACTGGTGGGACCCGCTGGTCAGGTGACCCCACGCGTCATCGACTCGAAACAGGGTAGGCGGCGCTGCTTCGTCACTGCGCGGCCAAGTTCACCGGCGGCGAGCTTTACCGGCGATGGCACCTAGTCTATGGTGACCCTCTAGACCTTGCGCACACATTGGGCTATCTAGGCGGGCGAATCATCGGCGCGAAGGACGACGGCGTCGGCCATGGCGGCACTACGGTGCTGCACGGCGTGTGCCGGCCGTCTCCGGCCACAGCGAGGCCAAACAAGGCGAGCAACAGGACCACGGCGACCATGCGAACCGAACTACATGACCTAGGAGGCTTGAGGCGCTCCGACGAAGTACGGCCACGGCAACGGCCATGGCGGCACTCCGGCGAGAGTGTTCCCGCGGCGGCGCAAAGCGAGCAGCGGCTCACCTAAGGCACGATCTCGGGAGAGGCAAGGTGGAAACAATGGGGAAGGTTGAGGCGAAGCTGAGAGAGCGACTAATTGGTGGATGCAGCGGTGGCGAGCGCAGGCGAGCTCGGCGGAGCATCTGAAATGGCGACGGCGAGGCAGGACGAGCACGGCTGACGCTACGACGAGCAAGGAGGAGGCAAAATGCGAAAAAGGAGGCACGAGCAGGAGCGGGCGGTGGTGGCGGTGTTAAAGCCGCGCTCAGGCGCGTCGTGGCCTGACCGGACAGAGCAACGGCGACGCGCGGCCATCGCCGCGGACATGCGGCGCGCAAGCTCTACCGGTGGTCGGCCATTGAACGGCTCGCTTCGTTCGACAGTGACCCGATGTGATGCCTGACAGCGGGTTTTTCCATGACTAAAACTTCGTGACCGTGGACGTTCAGCGAAAATTTCGTACATCAAAGTTGAAGCCTAATGTACCAGCTACAACTCTTGTTCAATAATCGTGTTCCAATTCTCAACCGAATTCAAGTTATATCGCCATGAAGGTCAGCTTGTCAGGCTGTTCAATGAACCAAGACTTAGCATTTCGTTAAGTGTTGAAAACAGTTATTTGTTGATTTTTGTGATCCCAATTCAAGCATGTTACGAGCTGAATCAGTTAGTGACCCAAAAATAAAAGTTGTTCCTTATGTCAAACACTACAACTTTGCTTTAGTGAACTCCTCCATGCAAGGTCTCTAACATCTAGTTCAACTTTAGTCAAACATGTCACTTTTAAATGATGATACACATCAAAGCATGGCTTAATGACCTTCTTACCCCTAACCATGAATATCAAAGTTGTTCATAATGATACTCTACACCTGTTTAAGCAATTTGCAAGGTCATTCAATCATTTCATGTAGTAGTCACTCATATGGCCATTTAGTGTAATCACCTGAAACATGACTTAAAGGCTTGGTTATGAAAAGTGACTTTCATGAACAATGCTCTAATTGCTAACCCAAGTGTGGTTACATGTTTTTGTGACTCACATCTACCAAGTACATGTTTTCATTCATGATCATTTGCATATGTACAAAGAAACATGCGATAACAAGCAAATGTTGCAGACGTTTCAATCAAAGGTTTCAATTGTAAATGCTTGTTTATGAATGCGTGATGATCATGCTTATGTTATGCAAGTTAAGTTATGCAAGGCTAACACCCGAGGTGTTACAGTTACAATACCGCCAGCACCTCCACCCTCGGACATATCAGAAGTAGAGCCCTTGCTTCCCCTCACTCAGTCACCACCAAGAGAGGAGGCGGATCCATAGCCTGGGCAGTAGAGGAACCCACCGAGCCCGGGAATGAAGCTGTGTGGTCCGACGAAGTAGATTAGTTGTCCTAGGAAAGATGTGCCATAGTTAGTAGTGCTTTTCATTGTTGTCCTCCAGTGTGTAATCTTTCGTTGTGTTCGTCCGTAGTTAGGAGACAAGAGTTTTGAAATCACGGAACTGCAAGCAAGAACTGAGGACAGTTATTGAAGACTAAAAGATTTTATCTCATGGAACAACAATCGTTGACAACAAGAGATAAGTTGCACCACCCATGGCTCCAGTGAAGTGAACACGTCCAAGCTTTTCTTTGCCTCATCCGAGTGCGTCCCTTTCTTGCTTCTAGGCTGTAGCCCTCGCTGTTGCCTCCGGCACACCCGTGTCCTGTAGCCACCATGACTGCCACAAAGCTCTAACCCAGCGCGGCGATGTTCCGTGCCCGTACGTGCGCCACCTCGTGCCACCGCCGTTGCCCCCGTTCCCACTCACGTACAACACCTGCCCACCGCGTTTCGCCTTGGTCACCTATTGATGTGTTGCCTCCCCAATGTCGTCGTGCATGCGTAGGTAACGGCGGCGCCTCGCATGTCGCGGAGAGCAGGAACTAGGCCAAGCGCACCTGGCTGCTATTCGAGAGACGACGCTATGGTCCCTGTACACGACGCCACTGTGGCATGGGGTGAAGCTAAAGCCATGAGAGCTCTGCGAGTCCACCACCATCATACGACGGATCAGAGGGCACCGCCGCCTACGCCACCGCGTAGAAGGAAGCTGATTGGTGGATCGATCCACTTGACCCTAAGGTTTGAGTGGCTCTGAGCCATTGGACCGAGCAGGCTTCATCTGTCGTAAAAGGGGCCCATTAGGGTCAATTTTGTGGGTTGGATCAACGAACCATTGGGTTGACCCGAACTGTCCCCATGTTTAAAGGCTAGGACCAGTTGAGGATGTGAGTTTAAGGCAATTATAACATGCGATCATCCTTGTTATCTATTCACCTTAATACACTTAATTCATATGCATGTGTCTACCTTGTTAACTTAAGGATATCCTAACTTTTGTATCTTGTACCTTGATACCTGTGGGAGATATGCATTTAGTTAGTATGATGCTAGTGCTCTACTTCAATAACCATGATCTGTAGCCTGACTAATGGTATATGTAATAAACATTAAAATATGATTTTTAGCAACATGGAATAAAGGGGCTAGAGTATTTGGCTACTTTTCCAAATGCTTTAGATTCCCCTCCGTAAGGACTTATCTGTAAGTGATCACCCGGGACTTACAGTACAACTATGAGAGCCATGGCTCTGGCTTTGTCTTTAGCTAAGTAAACTGAGCTTTTCTAGCTTGTTGGTGGTTACCTTAAGGCGAATTAGGATAGGCCTAGGTTACAGAATGGCTTTTTGTCTCTCAGAGTGTGTATAGCCTACATGGATTGTGTCACTCTGTTAGAGGGGCTCCATTCGCCTAGCTACTGAAATCTAGCGGTTGCTAACTTGTTAGAGGGACTTTTGAAAGGCTTCATAGTGAACCCTGCCGACCTTCCTTGGTAGTGGGTCAAGAGGCAGATCACCTCGGGCAAAAGGCAAATCACGGCTCATGGTGAAAGTGTACAACCTCTGTAGAGTGTAAAACCGGTATATCAGTCGTGTTCACGGACACGAGCGGCCTGGACTCCTTATGGATTAGATGGACACTAATGATTATTGTTTCTTGCTATACATTATTCTTGTTTACATGATCATGTAGTTATATGAGCTTATGCTAAACTTGTTGCTACTTAATTGCTAAAATTATAACTCACTAAAATCTGATCGCAGTAAATCAGTGTCAACCTTTTAAGCCTCATGAATCTCATGTTATATTGCTGAGTACGACATGTACTTACACTTTCTTTATTTTCAATACTTTAGAAAAATCCTGGATGGGTATCAGATTGCTAGAGTCTGAAGGAGTTAGACTTTGTGATCAACCAGTCATTTGTCCCTGTGGATTTGGAGTCTTCACCTAAAGAACGGAGTTGTCTTACCGATGTTTGTTGTCTAAGGTTATATTTCTTGTACTAAGTACGTTATATATTAAGTATTGTTTTTTGATATTACCTCTATTTGTAACCATATGTGCGACTCCCTGGGCTCACATATGGTGTACATCTGATTTTATTCTTAAAACCAGATGCTACATCATGCCACTTACTTTTAACCTCTTAATACAACCTATCCATATCATCTCTACTTAATTTATTTTTATTTTTTTTGCAATCTCCGCGGTAACATGCAGAGGATCTTCTAGTTTTACCTAAAAGTTATGGTCTCACTGATACAATAGGTAGCACGGATGGGCCCATATCAATTTTGCTAACATGTGCTATAAATATTAAGATCATTTTTTTAGAAATGATGCGATAATAGATTTAAAAGTATCCAGATAACACATTAAGGTTATTAGGAATACATCAAATTAAATAAGTTCACAAGTTAACCAGGATTTTAGCTTTATTTATTTTTACTTCATAAATATAATGTTTCTCGATCTACTTCTAACCATAAACGCGCTTACAAGTTACAAGTTATGACCAACCTTGTATATTAGAAAACAAAGAAGACCAAAGAATTAAGAAAATGATTATTACGTGACTATAGTTTATTAACAGATAAAAACATTACTAATAATATTTTCTATAAATTTAATTTCTGAGAAGATTCTATAAACTTAATTAAACCAAGTTTAACCTATATAAATCTTAGACGATTTTTTTAACCGAGGGAGTAGCAAATATGGCCTGGCCTGGCCCATCTATGGTACAACCAAACACGCGCCTATACGGAGCACAATTGCAGAAACACGCCCGACCTTGCACACATCCATCCCCAATTCCCCGCCGCCTTCCCAACTGGCCATCCTGCACTCCCATCCCGCCGTCTCCCCTTGCCGCCGATTGCTTTTCGTCCTAATCCTGACTCACTTAAAACCCTAAAGGCCTCCAGCAAAGGTCCCAATCTCGAGTACGGAGGATGGAGAACTGTAACAACGGACCGGCGGCCGCCGATGATTTCAAGGTACGAACCCACTCGCTCGCACGTTGTATTAATGATTGGTGCCGTAATACTTGTCGGAGATCAAGGTGTTGGTGGTTTATTGCGCCGTTGGCAGGTGGTGGTGCCGGCGCACCCGCTGATCAGCCACTGGGTCTCAGTGCTCCGCGATCGCTCCACCCCTTCCCATGCCTTCAGTGAGTGCTGTGCCTTTTTTTTATTGTTATTCTGAATCTCGTCCTTATTCTTGGCACGTCGTGCTTTACCGGTGACAATTAATTGCAGGGAGTGCAATGGGGGAGTTAGGGAGATTGCTAATCTATGAGGCAACTCGGGATTGGTTGGTATGTTCCTAATTCTTACCTAAAACTAGATGGAAATGCTACATTTGGTGGTGCTGATGCAAATGTTTGATGTTAAGATATAGTTTAGGGTAGATGTGAAAATAATGATCACTGCGATGTGAAAAGGAATCTTCTAATGTATTTTATTCTGGGCAGTCAGTAATGATGAATTTTATTTCGTTGAGTATGCGATCATTGAGATAGTTCTCCACTTTCTTCTGGTAGCCGACAGTAACACGGGAGATCTAGACACCTGTGGGCACTGCGGTTGTTGAATCTGTCAGTGAGATGGAGCCAATCATGGTTTGTATTTCTCTTCAATGTATCTTTTTTTGCAAATTTGGCAATATTATTAATTAACCTTGAATTTTGTTGATATATTTCAGATTGTACCTATTCTTAGAGCAGGGCTTGCTCTTGCAGATCTTGCAACATCAATTTTGCCATCAACTAGAACTTTCCATTTAGGTGAGAAAAAATAACTTTTGATTTGTTGGGAAAAAACTCAATTTCTCACTTGCTGATGTTCGTGATGCAATATGTTTTCATCTTTTGACTTACAAAGAACATCATATTTGATTGAAACATTTCCTGCTGATGAATATGCTACAAATATGTCCACAAACACATGGTGTGCTTCAACTTTTTTTTACTAGACAAATTTAGCACATAAAAACTGGTCTAGTTTTCTAGATAAATTTATTTATTTATTTAAGCATGCTTATTGATTACTGCTAATGTTCCTTTTTTACCTATACTAAATGAAGGTATGTCCAGGGATGAGACAACGCTGCTGCCCTCTGTTTACCTAAATAAGTAGGTGCCATTCTTTTTGTTTTGCATTTAGATAAATAATGTCGTTGATATGTTATACCACAGTAGTTGGGGCTCTACTAAAGCTATGTAACTTCATTTGGCAGAACGAAATATTATCTCAATAAAAATGTAGCTTGTTTGTAGCTAGGAAACAAACAGTGGAGGTTGTTAAATATTCTTTAGTTAATTTAATTTCCTTGATGAAGAAGTCACTTTCATCATACAAGCTTGGAACTACAGTGATTATGAACTGCGTTCCAGCTTACTCTTTTCTATCTTATTGTACACTTTTAGTTAATTTGATGTATCATAAGATCTTTTTCTAGTGCAATCTATTGAAATAGTTGAGTTGCAAGCTATAGTGTTGTATGAAATTACCAATGGTACTTGTTTTCCTGATGATCAATGGAACATAATTTTGAGTGCAGGCTACCTGATAGGTTCCCAAAAGGATGTAATATACTCCTTGTGGATCCTATGCTAGCAACTGGTAATCCTTTCCCTTGTATATCACAGCCAATTCTTATATTGGGTTATCATTCTTTTTGTGTTTGCCTGATTGATTTCACTCCTATGCCCATGCGTGTTTGAGTGGTCGTCTTTCTTCTTACCTTGTGTTTTCCATCAGGTGAGTGTGGAGCTGAAATCAGTTAGATAAGAATTGTAAGTTCATGAGGCAAAAAAAGAAAAGAAAAAGATGAAACAGATCGGTTTGTTGATTAAAAAATGGTTATTATTTTCTAAACAGTGATTGTTATGCAGATATCAGCTGTTGCTGCTCCTCGTGCCATCAAGAAGCTCAATCAAAGATTCCCAGGGTGCATTCTGAAGTTCTATAAATTTGTTGCATTTTTAGTAAGGTTACCTTGATGATTGTTGTTATGACCGGCATCCCGTACTCCAGGCGAAGGCCCAGCAGTGGCTAGAGGATGCCGGCGGGATAGGGGGCTCAAGGCCCATATTTATCATATTTTACATAATATTAGAGTTATTTTCTATTATTATTCAGAGACATATAAATACCTGTAAACTCTATTGAGGAAATTAAGCAGAAACATATTATTGTTTCCGGCTTCCTTTAGGGAGCCGGGAGATTATCCTGTGCCCTAATCGCCTCTCCTCTTACCTCACGCACGCCGCCAGTCTCCACCCGCGAGATCACGGCGCCCCGCCGTGGTCCATCGCGGTTTAAGCCTCGACCCCCGATCACCCACCGCTACAACATACGCTCGGTCAGGGGAGGAACCTCGGTTCCTATCAGCTTGGTATCAGAGACCTTGCCGATCATGGACACCTCCGCTGCCTCCTCCGCCGCGCCATCGCTGGCGATTCCACCGGTGCCGGCCAACTCCACCGCGCCCCCTGCTACGTCGGGCGTTTTAGTGGTGCCGTCCTCCCAATCCTTGACGACCACCGTCGCGCCGCGGCGGGTGTTCACGCCCGAGGAGGTGACGACCTCCATCGTCAATCTCAGCCACGGCGTGAAGGAGCTGCAGGACATGATGAGGGCGTTTCTGAGCGGCCAGTACGTGGTTCAACCACCGCAACCGTCGCATCCTCCTCCGCCGCCACCGTTGCCCTCATCCGTCTCGGTGCCGCTCCTCACCTACCCCTACGGGATGCCTACGGACTCCATGCCGTCGCCGTCAACCTCCGTTCAGCCGGCGGTATCCCAGGTCCCGATCCATATGCTGCAACTTCCACACTCGCCGTCGCCGATTCCGGCTTGGGCCCTTGGATCCTCGGCGGCGCATCCATGACCGCGCCGCTCTACTCCTCGGCGCCGCCTCGGACCACCATCCCTTAGGCTCCATTGACGGTCGCCCATGGGGAACCCTATGCATCAGGGACCCTGTATGGCGGCGTGGACGGGACGCTGTTCCATGACACCAGCGCCTCCGTGGCTGCCTACGCGGCCGTGCCACCTAGGGCCGACCAGGAGGGCCCCTACGAGCGCCCTCCACAGGCCATGGGGGGCGGTTTCGACCGCCTGCCGCCCAAGACGCATCGCCTCGAGTTCGCAACCTACGACGGCTCGGAAGACCCCCTGAATTGGCTCAACCACTACGAGCAATTCTTCCGGGGCCAACGATGGCCGGCCTCCGACAGAACGTGGATTGCGGCGTACCACCTCCAGGGCCTGGCGCAAACCTGATACTTCGCCCTCAAGCAGGATGAGGGCATGCCTTCTTGGGAGCGCTTCATCGAGCTGTGCCGCCAACGCTTCGGACCGCCAGTTCGCGTTACTCGGCTGGCGGAGTTGGGGCGCTTGCCGTTCCAATCTACTGTCCAGGAGTTCGCCAACCGCTTTCAGGCGGTGTCTTGCCATGCACGTGGCGTCTCTGCCAAACAGAAGGCCGATCTCTTCGTCGGCGGCCTTCCCGAGTACATTCGGGTGGATGTGGAGATGCGCGATCCCCAAGACATCCAGACGGCCATGTACTTGGCACGGGCTTTCGAGCATGGGGCGGCGGCCATGCCCACGGCGCCACCCCCGCGGGGTGCCCGGCCTCCACCTCGTCCCGGCCTGCCCCCGCGTGCCCCGACACAAGCAACAGGGGCTCCAGCTCAGCCGGGCGCTGGTCCCACGGGCGGGCAGGGCGCTCCTCCCGTGCGTCAGTTCTGTCGCCTCACACCGGCAGAACAGTTGGAGCGCCGCCGTCAAGGGCTGTGCTTCAACTGCGACGAGCCCTATGTCCGCGGCCATGTGTGCCACCGGCTGTTTTACCTTGAGTCTACAGACTTTGTCGATGAGGAAGCCGAGGAGGTGGCTGCTGCAGACGCCGACGCAGCCGCCTTTCCAGACGAGCCGGCCAGCCAAGGAGTGGCCGGCGATGCAGCCGACGCTGCTAACGCCCTCGTCGTTTCTCTCCATGCTGTTGCAGGAATCCGCCCGCCCAACGCCATGCTGCTCCCCGTCACCGTCAAGGACGAGAGTTTCCTCGCCCTCCTCGACACCGGCTCCACTCATAATTTTGTCCAAGGGGCTGTTCTGCGCCGCTTGGGCCTGTCTCCAGCTGGTGGTGACCACCTCCGTGTCACGGTCGCCAATGGTGAGCACGTGGCGTGCGAGGGCATTGCTCGGAACGTGCCCGTCCGCATCGGTGACGAGGACTTCACCATCACGTGTGTTGGCCTCAACCTGGGCGCCTTCGACTTCATTCGCACGTTGGGGCCCGTGTTGTGGGACTGCGACGCCCTCACCATGGCGTTCTGGAGGGAGGGCCGCCGCGTCACCTGGCAAGGCGTGCCCGGCCCTCAGACGCCCACCCCACAGCAGGCGGTGACCGCGGTCATGACTGACCCGCGGCTACCTCTCCTGGATCGTCTGTTGGCGCAGCTCGGTGACATCTTCGACGAGCCTACTGGGCTCCCTCCGGCGCACCCCTACGACCACCACATCCACCTGCTGCCTAGGATGGCCGCAGTGGCGGTGCGGCCATACCGATACCCGCAGCTGCAGAAGGACGAGCTCGAGCGCCAATGTGCAGCGATGCTCGCCCAAGGGATCATTCGGTTGAGCACTTCGCCGTTTTCCACGCCCGTCCTGCTAGTGCGCAAGGCGGACAAGTCGTGGCGCTTCTGCATCGACTACCGCTCCCTCAACGCCAAGATCTCCAAGGACAAATTCCCGATTTCGGTGGTTGACGAGTTGCTGGATGAGCTCCATGGGGCTCGTTTCTTCACCAAGCTTGACCTTCGTTCTGGCTATCATCAGGTGCGCATGCACCCGGAGGACATCGCCAAGACGGCTTTCCGCACCCATCATGGCCACTTCGAGTTTTTGGTGATGCCATTTGGGCTCTCCAATGCCCCGGCAACCTTCCAGGCGCTGATGAACGACGTCCTTCGGCCTTACCTACGACGGTTTGTGCTGGTCTTTTTTATGATATATTAATTTATAGTCCATCATGGGCCGAGCACTTGCAGCATGTCAACATCGTCCTCCACGCGCTTCGGGTACACCACCTTCACTTGAAACGATCCAAGTGCTCGTTTGGCGCGTCGTCGATGGCCTACCTGGGCCACGTGATCTCCGAGGGCGGCGTCGCCATGGACGCTGACAAGGTCGCCGCCGTGGCTGCGTGGCCCCTTCCGCGCTCTGCCCGTGGCCTGTGTGGTTTTCTCGGCCTCGCGGGCTACTACCGGAAGTTCATCCAGGACTTCGGCATCATCGCCGCCCCACTCACGCGTCTCTTGCGGCGGGACGCGTTTGTGTGGGACGACGATGCTTCGGCGGCATTCGAGGTGCTCAAGCGCGCTTTGACCACAAGACCTGTTCTTCAGATGCCAGACTTTACTAAGTCCTTCGTGGTCGACTGCGACGCGTCGGGCGGAGGGTTCGGCGCCGTCCTCCACCAGGGCGTCGGGCCTCTCGCCTACTTCAGCCGTCCCTTCGCGGCCCGTCATATCAAACTGGCGGCCTACGAGCGGGAGTTGATCGGCTTGGTACAGGCCGTTCGTCATTGGCGTCCATATTTGTGGGGGCGCCACTTTTTGGTTCGCACTGACCATTACAACTTGAAATTTTTGCTTGATCAACGCTTGTCTACAGTTCCGCAGCATCAATGGATCAGCAAGCTGTTTGGCTTCGACTTCTCGGTAGAGTACCGTCCGGGCCACTTGAACATCGTGGCAGACGCTCTCTCTCGCCGGGACTTGGAAG